TCCTTTCCTACTCTCTAACCATATTCTGTTGTCTGCTTTCGTCTCCAATTTCTGCCCCCCCCCCTGCCCCATTCATTTGGGCTTTTGATTCTTTCTGCAGCCTTTCTACTGCTCCTCCTTGGGTGTTTCTTACTGCTATCTTTCAGCCACACCCCTGATCTTATTGGAGGTAAGATCTTGCACCTAGTCTTCTCAGATAAGGGGGCACAATCGCGGAGGTCCCTTGGTGGTCCGCCACCCCGACAAAATTCAAAATTCCAGCCAAAATGAAAGTGTTTAATGTGTCTTGCGCGCTCATATAACCGTATGTAGTTGCAAGTCTAAAAGTTTTTAAAAACCCGTACCTGAAAGGCAAGACTGAAAGAAACTATACCAATAAAGAATCTTATTCAGATCTTAACAGTAACTGTGCCTACACTTTTACAAGTGAGGGGAAGGGACAGACAATGAGAGAGAGAGAGAGAGAGAGAGAGAGAGAGAGAGAGAGAGAGAGAGAGAGAACCTACTACTGTACTAGTGGCATGCTTCAACCACCCGCTGAAGCCTTGCACTGGTCTCAGTCCGCAGCACATCTCATACGTGGCCGACGTCTTTGGAAGAACAGTTAGGCTTTTGCTCTCACGCGCAAAAGACAAGAGTTTAATGCATGCGTGGGAAAGTCTACTCTATCAAATTATATCTCCTCCTTCCTGTTAGGCTGGTACACCACTCAGCCCTTGGTTGCACTTGGTTGCTCCCGGCAGGCATGGTCAAAGTCAAAGTGGGATGTCTCCTACGTGATCTCACTTGCGTTAATGGGACTGTAAAACATTCCCGCTCAGTTTTATCTCATGTAGTAGTGTAGTCAGTAGACCTGGTCTTCAGGATAAAAGTTCTCCCGGTATCACGCGCGATCCCATACAATAATGCTTTGTTTGCCTCTTATCACCTTGACTATAGAATTGTAGACCAACCCGGTTAGAAACGTCCTCAACACAGACAGAGATCATCCTGGATACCCCC